TCGCTTTCATTCACACTTCACATGCATGCAAACAGGTTGCGCAGCAAACTGGCGACAACCGCCCACTCAGAACTCAGAGATATGGTAGCCAAAAACGCAGTTCAGATTCGAGTTCACTTCAAATGGCTATGGCGCCTCAGCGCCCACACAACTCTCTGTTCGACACTTCACTCAACTCCCCTGTTCACACGCACTCATCTTAGGATCACCTTGGATATCCCACACGCAGTACACTGTGCACTCACACACACACATACACGCTACACTCTCCTAGCAGCTATGGCGGCTATGGCCGCCGCTACCCTATTGCTATGGCTAAGCTCCTTCTCTCGCCCACTTCATCTTCGGGCCCACTGCGGACCACCTCGCACAAGTCGCTGTGGCTGCGCTCCCGAATGGCTTACGCAGGAATGAATGAATGGCTGGGCGCTGCCTCTTGATTTATACTTTTGTACCTCGTTGGTCTGCCCCTTTCCCATGCCCGTGGTGCACACAGTCCCATACGGTACTTGCTTGACTGGACTAGGACTGACTGGGACTGGGACTGCTGACTCAGCAGGGGTGGACTCCACCACTTGCCCACTTGCCTCAGCCTAAACGTGAGCAACTTCGAAAGGCCACTACTAGGACCTTCCGGAAGGCCGTGGTGGACTTGGCCTTTCGATACTGTAGCAGCTACGACCTTGACCTTTCGGAGGAGCTACAGCTACGACTTCTAGAACTTGCTAAGACTCCTACCCGACAAGTCTACAGATCGAACCCCCACTACCTACGTTACAAATACACAGGTCACGGGTTCAACTCTCGGGGTCGACACAGATACTGTACACAGGTAAGATAAGTCTAGGGACCGAGCCCTGGGATCTGCATCGGCTACTGCGAACAGGTGAATAGTGTTTCACTCCTGCCGGCCTAAATTCGGGGTCCTCCGAGAATAACTCAGTCCAAGGCAGGACCTTTACTTCCCTTATCTCTCTCGTAGGCCCTAACTATGTCGCGAGCAGTTTCTAGCAGTTCTGTTCTGGTAAACCAGCGATCGTCCTCCGGTTCCTGACACGCAAATCGGACCTTATATTGCTTCTATGGACGACCTCTACCTCATGTTCTGAACACGTCTTCACCTACAATGCCGTCAATGTCGTATCTTCCATCCATGTCTGGAGGGATCATGGACCTTCTAGATGGAAACTGTTGACTTGTGACACACGGCAACAACTTTGATGCATGGAACACCGGGTAGGTGTGGAGGTGTGCTGGGATCTCTACTGTGTAGGACGACCCATCCTCTCCGCCCTTGACTTCTAGAACTGGCCATGGTCCCCTGTACGCTGGCAGTAACTTCTGCGAGGAGCAAACTCTTTGGACTTGACCGAGACTAAGTCGCCTACTTGGAACTGCGATGGGCGACGGTGCTTGTTGGCTTGCTCTATCATTCGATGTTGGGCCTTCCTGAGGTTCTCTACGACTGTAGCTAGCTCTTTTTCGTGCTGTATCGTGAACTCCCTGGTACCGGGCAGTAGCCTATGAATCTGATCCCGGTTAAGTCGCTCAAACGGTCTGCGCGGTCTAAAGGACTCGTGCAACTCGTTGGGAGTGCGACAGGTGGACAGATGCACACTATTGTTGTACGCACTGGCTACCTTGGGCAACATCTCATCCCAATTGACTTGATCAGGTCTAATGTACATGCGCAGAACTTGCTGCAGGATCTTGTTCATCTGCTCAGTCTGACCGTTAGTCTCTGGGTGACGGCCAGATGACATCAAAAACTTTGATCCATAGACTCTCATCAATTTCCTGCCAGTTCTGACTCGTGAAGCGAGTATCTCTATCACTAACAATAGACAATGGGATGCAATGCTCACTAACCCTAAAATAAAAAAACTTCTGAATTACTAACTCAGTACGTGCCTCTGCAGGCAAAGGAACAAAAACTGCATACTTGCTAAATCTATCAACTATGACCATGACTTGGCTCTTGCCGTGCCTACTCTTGACACCGGCGTCCATAAAGTCAACGGACACAGAATCTCCAAGCTGATCAAGAATAGGCAAGGGTCTGAGAAGATCTAGAGGGGCACGCGTAGTACTCTTGTTTCTCTGGCATACTTTGCAACTGCGGACATACTCTATGCAGTCAACTTCCTGGCCAAGTGTACGCATGCATCAGATTGGCTAGAGTCTTTTGCCAACCGAAATGTCCCTCTGTGTCGTGGCATTCCCCTAGGATCAAACTACGAATCTCCTCGCTGTTACGGACGCACAGACGTCTACTACATTAGTCTTCTCAAATAGCAACCCCTCTGTAGTGCGGTAATCTGGTTTGGTCTCTGGGGCCTCCTTAACTCTCTTGAGGAGGTCACTATAAATAGGGTCCTGCGCATACGCCTGTCTAACTCTCTCTTGCAGGTCACTCCCTATATCCAGATAGTGAACTATAGCTCCAAAGTAGTCTGATCTCCTACTTAGAGCGTCCGCAACTACATTGTACTTTCCTTTAACAGGCTTGAGCTCAAAGTCGTACCGGTCTATCTCAGCGGCCCACCTAGTCAACTTAGGTGTCATTTTGGTTTGTGTCTTCAACCACCTAAGTGTCTCGTGGTCTGAATACACCTTGAAGTGCCTCCCAAGCAGGTAATGCTTCCAGTGCTCTAAGGCCTGCCTGAGAGCGTAGAGTTCTCTCTCATACGTTGAGGTGGCTACCTTCTCTGAGGGCATCCTCGCTGACATGAACTCTACGGGTCTGTAGCCATTGTCGTCGTCCTGCTGTAACACGGCGCCTATACCATACTGACTCGCGTCCATGGTGACGACAAATGACAAAGATGGATCTGCTACTTTGAGGACAGGGTACTCTATTAATGCGCGCTTTAATTTCTTCAGCGCAGACGTACAATCTTAATCCCACTGCCAGATCGCCTCTTTCTTGTCAATGAGCAATCTGCGAAGGGAAGCGGCGATAGTCAAGAAGTTCCTCACGAACTTCCTATAGTAATTCGCTAGGCCTAGGAACGACCGCAACTCAGTCAACGTGCGGGGCGTCGGCCAATCGCTAATCGCCGCTATCTTGCTGTCCTCAGGCTTAATGTCGTCTCCGTCTAAAACGTGGCCCAAGTACAAGACTTGCGTCTTGGCCCACTCGAATTTCTTCGCATTTATCTTGAAGTTAGCTTCTCTCAGCTTCTCCAAGACCTGCCTCAAATGACCCTGGTGCTCTTGGAGGGTCCTACTGAATACTAAAATGTCGTCTAAGTAAACTACGACGAATCTATCTAACCAAGGTCTGAACAAATCATTCATACATCGCTGAAATGTAGTTGGCGCATTGGTCGGTCCGAAGGGCATCCCTATGAACTCATAATGCCCATATCTAGTCCAGAATGCAGTCTTGTACTGGTCATCAGGATGGACCTCTATCTGATGATATCCGAACTTCAAATCGATCTTCGAAAAATATCTGCAACCCTGCACCCGATCTAAAAGATCGTCTATCCTGGGCAGCGGTTCAACGTTCTTCACTGTGATCGCATTAAGACCCCTATAGTCTATGCACATCCGTAACTCTCCTTCCTTCTTGGGGACAAACAAAACTGGTGCTCCAAAAGGAGATGAACTGGGCCTAATCCAACCCTTTTCGAGGAACTCGTCTAACTGCTTACGCAGCTCCTCTAACTCCCTTGGGGACATCCTGTAGACTGCTCCCTTAGGAGTCCCACTGCTAGGCTCTATCTCTATACGATGTTGGATTGGCCGCGACACTACTCGTATCGGCGGCTCTGTCAAATCCTTAAATTCTTCCAGCAGCTTGGCAATAGCTGGGTCTATGGGTGTGTCTTCCTTAGGCTCAGTGACATGCCTCACATAGGCTACTTTTCTCACTAATCGCGTGAACGCGGGAACACTGAGACAGCAATGTGCCAAGGAGTTATCTACTCCAGACACATGAAACAGGCGGGCAGTCTTAACCTTGCCTGACGGACTAGGGAGCCTACACTCATGCTCTCTTAAGTGGAGTGTGGCCCCTACTGCCTCTCCCCAATCCATACCTAAGACTATATCAAAAGGAAGGTCATCCTGTACGAGGAGAGTCAGGGAATGGAGAACCCTCTCCACCTTCCCATCTTTCTCTAGGCGGAAATACACCTGGACTCCCTCTACGTAGTCCTTAACACGCATAGCGCGGTTGTCTGCGAGGACACTAACTATGGGGTCTTCTAACTTTTGGACTTTTAACCCTAGCCTTAGCTTCTTCAGCGCTCTACGGCTAATATAACTGCGAGTGGCCCCTGAGTCTATTAGGGACCCTACTCTACTCCTAAAGACCTCTACATCCACTAAGACTAGTTGTCCCTTACTATCCTTCTTCATTTTGGCCCAGGCAGGCATTCTCTCCTTCAACTCTTCTGCCATGCCTGTGAGGGAAGTGCCTAGAGAGACACGAACACAAGCAGTCTCTAGACAGCTAGCTAGGCACGGCCTGCAACCTCTGTCGAAGGCGTGCAACCTCTGCCGAAGGCACATGTGGTGTGGGAGTTTCCTGTTCGCGCGCGCTCGCTTCCCCACGTGGCCTAGTAGTAGGGGCAGTTGCAACCCCTACCGATGGCTGCCTTTTGACTCTTGGGCAGCCCATTGGGCCTGTCTATACTTAGGACAATATTTAATAATATGGGACGGGTCACCAAAGTAAACGCACTGACCCTGGTCCATACGTTGCTGCCATACTCGCTGGTCCAGGCCCAAATCTTCCGAAGGTCGGCCTTGTGGCCAACCTGGGTGCCAACCTCCTCTCCTCTGAGGTGATCCTCCACCTCGTTGCTGCGGGGACCGACTAGGACCTTGACGATTTGACGGGGGACCTTGACCCCTACCTCCCTCTTGGCGGTTCCTTTGGCCGCCAACCCCCTGTGCGCCCGGTCCTCGACCACCCGTGGCTTGGCCTCCTCCTCTACCTTGCGGCCTCCCTCCAACCGCGACAGCAGCATAGGTCCTTCCCTGGCCTACACTACTATCCTCTTCCTCGAGCCCCCACTCAATCTGACTGTAGGGGACTTCAATTGTACCACCTTCATCTAAAGTAAGGATCAAATGATCCTTGGCCCTGACTTGGCCAGAGATGGTACGACCCTTCCACTTCTTACCCTTATCTAAGTCCTTATGCCAGAAAGTGGAAAATAGCATGGACTTGGCCTCAAACAGGACCACTTTTCTACTCAACGTATCATACGTGACGTTGGCCTATTAGGTCTTGTCGAAGAAATGCCCTCGCAAGGCCTCTGGCATGGCACGATAAAATAACTGGACCAACTGGATCTCAGTGACCCCATGGTCTAGGACGACTACCAAGTCGTCCATGACAGCTTTGAGTGCTCGCGCACTCCTCCACAGTCGCGAGTGGATGGTTTGGAGCTTGTTCGAGGCCCTGACGCCCCTTGTGACATCAGCGAACCTCTCACGCAGGAGTTTGAGGAAAGTGGAGAGAGGGGTGAGCCTAGAATATGCAATCATATTGTGCTCGCAATCAGCGGTGCGTGCAAGGGACCTGGCGAAGCTGGCCGCTTCGTCCTTCAATGCATGGAAGGCTACGAGGACTTGTTCCTCTGGGGCAATATGTTGTAAATAGACATATGTATTAATGCTAGCCTCCCAATTATCAAAACTATCGTCCTTTTTCCTGCTATAAGCGTCAGGAAATGTGAGTTTAACAGACTCTTTGCGGGGACGCGACGCGGCCTCTGCTGTGGCCACTACTTTGGCGCCTTCAACGATGCCGACGCAAAACTTCTCCGCGCCTTCCTTCAATCTCTTTACTTCGGTCCCGACGTGGGTCACCACGTTGCGCGCAAACTCTCTAAACCCTGACCGAATGGCATGAAGGGTCACATCTTGGCCCTTATTGGCCTGATGCTCCTCAGCCAGGTCTGACTCAAGACTTCAAGATACCCCAAGATCTTATCTAACTTCGCGGGGGTCTCTGCTTGTGCCTGCACCTCTTGTCTGCATGCTTGGACTTTCTCCACCTCTCTAGCTATCCGGTTGGCTTCCTCCCTCCTTCTCTTCTTCTCCCTCGTCAGACGCAATTTCCACTCCGACCTCTTTTCATCTTCTGTTGTCTGGCGATCCAAAGGGTCCTCCATCACTTCCAACTCCCTAGCGAATGCCTCTCTCTCCTCCTGAGGCACGTACAGCAGTGCCTCCTCATCCTCTCCCAGCGATAAATTAGCCACCCACTCACTAATTTTCTTTTCCATCCATTTGTCCTCCGCCGTTATGCCACTGCTTTCTCCCCTCGCGTCCTTACGCCTTTTTTCGAGGGGTTCTTCTTCGACTTCCTCCTTTGCTGCTGCTTCTTCTTCAACAACCCTCCTCTTCTCTTCCTCCTCCTGCACTAATCTCCTCATCTCTTCCTCCAACTTCTTCTTCTTCGCCGCCTGCTCCTCCGCTATCGCCTTCAACTTTGCGTGCTTGAGGAGCTCCTTCTCCCTTCTCTCCCTCAGTATGGCGGCGACTTGCTCCTCTTGAGCTTGGGTGTAGGGGGCAGTACTCGTCCCACTACGGGTGTCAACCATGGTGTCTGGTGCACAACCGAACAACGGTTCCACTCCTCACCACTTAGACTCTACTCCCCCTGACTGACTCAACCTACGGACTTAATCTAAGGACCACAGAATCCGGACAGGATCCTGTCAACTAGGGTCTCTAGCCTGGACCTACCCTAAGGCTGTCACTACAGGACCTGTTACCCCCGTAACTCCTTAGGAATTCTTTAACGTCGCAGACAGGACGACGCGATCAGCAGGTCCTCCCAGGACTTAAACGGCCCGTTGTGCAGCCCACAGCTCGGATTTTGGGCCTACCGTGCCACACCGAGCAGCCCGCCGGTCAGTACTGGTCCTTGGGAGGGTTCGTGTCCTCCGGGACAGTCGAGTCGTCAGACAC